TCCACGTTTCTTCCTACAATGCCGATGTGTCTTCTCCTTCTGAGTTCTTCCGAACTAAGGTACGTTATCGGGAGAAGAGCAGTCAAACGTTTATCTACTAACTCCTCCATTAGGCTCACGGCGAGAGGATAGCTAGAGACATATTCCCGGAAACAACCATCGTCAGACCGGCGCCGATGTTTGGGTTCGAGGATAACTTGCTTCACAAGCTAGCCGGCATAACCAACTTGTTTACTTCTAATCATATGCAGGAGAGATATTGGCCAGTCCATGTAGGTGCTCAACTCCGTACATTTCCTGAAGATTCACTGGAACTAATGTATCTCTCCCCTTAACAGGCTATTGACGTTGGCTATGCTCTTGAGAAAATGCTGTTCACCGATGCATCCGTGGCGCAGACATACGAGTTGTACGGACCAAAGAACTACTCGACCGCCGAGATTGCCGAGCTTGTCGACCGTGAAATCATCAAGAAGCGCAGACATCTCAACGTACCCAAACGCATCATGAAACCAGCGGCCTACTGGGCCAACAAACTCATCTGGTGGCCGACAATATCCGCAGATGAGGTTGAGATGGAGTTCATCGACCAGAAGATCGACCCATCTGCCCTAACTTTCAAAGATCTGGGCATTGAACCTGCTGAAATCAGTAATCTGACCTTCCATTACTTGGTATGTAAAATTTCCACTCAGGATGTTCGCTTTCTAACCCTAATACTTACGTTTTACTCTCTTTCAACAGCGAGGTTACCGAAGTTCCCAGTACGCCGATCTCCCTCCAGCTACAGAGCGAGAGAGAATGGAAGACAAGAAATATGTGCACGTCCTCGATGACCAGTAGACAGCTAGTATTTTTCCTAGAACATGTATATACTCGTACTTCACTAGACGCAAATCAATTTCAGTTTTCCTTTGTTTCATTTAGTTTAGTTTCATGTGATCAGGTAGACGTTCAGAGTCTCAAGATTTACTCAGCACAGAATCGTTCGAAGTGTAAGTTAAAATTAAACACCGAAACGTCCATAATAAGAATAATAAACATGTTTATTCTATCTAATCTCCCTATGTAATTTGCTGGATATCATTTTTGCAATTCATTTAAAAATGATGTTGCAAGGCCAGGGAAGGAAAATCACCAATGACGTGCTATCTGAACGTTGATATCAAACTCCTCCACACCAACATAACTAATTCCTGCCTTGTTCAATCCATCAGCCCTCCAGCAACAAATTAACTTGAGGCCCTCTCTCCATTGATTTTTCTAATGCTACCACAACCATCATGAAAAGTCCTTCCCCAACCACTCGGTCCAAAACCCCCATCTTCCTCCTGAAGACCAAATCGACCCCTCAGGACGGATACGAAGAGTATTTCTCCGCATCGGGTTGCTATGACCCCATATTCGTCCCCGTCCTCGAACATAAGTTTCGCAACGCAAGTCTGCGGAGGGTGAGGGACCTGTTCGTTTCTGGGAAGATAAGGGAGCAATATGGCGGGCTGATATTTACGAGTCAGAGAGCTGTGGAGGGGTTTGCGAGGATCATTATGGATGAGGTAGGGGGTATGCTTTTTTCCCCACCACCCCTCCTCTCTATGGAATACAATTAAAATACAATTAAAACAACACACCTGTTGTTTATATTCCACCGGAGAAGTATATTTGTTAACACATGAGATGATTCACGGATATGAACAGAAACCGCATCTACAAAGGCCTCTGAATCCCTCCTCCTCTACAGCGTCGGACCAGCCACCTACCGCTCCCTGAATATATTGCGCGAATCGCATCTCCCCCACTCCCAACTCATGGGCCACGATGCGGGTACGGGCGAGATACTCGCACACATCATCCTCGACCACTATAATGCCAATCACAGCAGTAGAAGAAGGAGCCATGCTGACAGAGAAAGAAGAGCGGCTGATGAAGATGCTGATGGCTGCGAAAAAACGACAGCGAAAAGGACCAAACTACCCCTTTTATTCCTCATTGGCGAGCAACACCGAGATATCATCCCCAAAACACTCATGGCAGACACACTTCCCCCAGAGACGCGGATAGAGGTTGAAGAGTTGATCGTGTATGAGACGGGGGTTATGGAGTCATTTGAGGATATGTTTGCGGCTGCGCTGGGGGATGCGCGAGCGAGGAGAAGGTTAGAGAGTGGTAGCAGTGGTGGTGCGGATGGTGGTGAGAATGTTAACTCTAGTGAACGACCTATGTGGGTTGTTGTTTTCTCGCCTACGGGTTGTGAGGCTATGCTTCGAACGCTTGGTGTGCTTCCAGGCGGCGAAGGGGGGGAGGAGGAGAAGGAGAAGAAGGCAAGGAGAATTGAGAGGGCCCTGCGAGATTGCTATATCGCAACGATTGGGCCGACGACGAGGGATCATCTACGTGAGCGGTATGGGGTGGAGCCGGATGTCTGTGCGGAAATCCCTAACCCTGAAGGGGTTGGGAAGGGGATTGAGAAGTTTTTGTTGGAGAAAAGGGGGAGATAAGGATAGGGGCGCCTGGACGGAATGTAGAAGTCCAATGTGGTTTGGATTTGTATACTTCAATATATCGTGTATAGTAATGCAAATGTATATTTCATGTATAAGGTTGGCCGTATATAAATACTAGAATAACCCTCGTCTCCGCCCTATATGGTATGCACCTCTAACCACAGATTTACATCGGTGTGCGGCGATGCTCCTTATCCGGCTCACATTATTCCCATACCAAGGATGAAGAAATGCAAGAAGAAAGGTCTATATCCAACGGTTAACAAGACCATCTCCTCTTCTCAGCCTATCCTTCTCCCTAACGGCGAATGTGAGTCGGCATCGTCTTGCCACAATATTTCAAAACAAACCGACCCTTGCTAGCCTCCGTCTTTGGTGGCCATGGCCATACCGACCGGTATGCCCACTCCACCCCAAACCTCCCCTTTTATCCCAATCAATCAACGAACAGGCAATCTATCCCTAGGCAGGAGGAATCTGGGCCGACTCCCAACCCTCATCCAAAAAATGAACAGATTCCCCACAGGCCTCGCACAGTATCCAAATCTCTCTACTCCACCGGATGCACCCTAGTGCCAGAGTTGTCGCGGGTCATTCATAAACTGCACACTATTCCTCGCCAAATCTTCATAAGCCATCCCGATACGTCCTCGTGTCGATGTAGATATCGATCCCGGCGATGACAGCGACGTCAAGAGTGTCGTATTGTGGGCTGCAGCGTTTTGAGGATGTCCTTCCTGACTAGCAATCGAACATATTCATCATCATTATTATCATTGTTGTTATCACCATTATTGGCGTGAACGTTGTCATTGTCACTGCCACCACTTCTTGCCCCTGGTAGCATGGCTTCCAGCTTCACCAGGGACGCCGCAACGGGATACATTAAGGGCCATGCTGGCACAGTGACCTGCTCATCCCTTAGGGGAAACTCCCAAAGGGAAAGCAGACAGATGCGTCCATCCGAACGGGGCGGATCCTTTCCAGATATCTTCCAGAAGAGCAATGGGTTCATCTAAGCGGTTTGATTTTGCCTGTTCCTGGCCCTGCTGCTTCTGTTTTTGCAGCAGTCCTTCTTCCCTCGGTACTTGAACAGTAGCAGCACTAGCAGCAGTAGTAGCAGCAGTAGCAGTAGCATTAGAAGCAGAAGTAGAAGCAGAAGTAGAAGCAGTAGTAGTAGCAGAAGTAATCGACCATGCCAGCGCCATCCCAACCGGGATCAACATCTCCTCAATCTCCCTCTCCCTAAACTGCCCCTAGCACTCGTCAAACGCAACTTGCGCTCACGCCTTGGGCACAGCAGCGTAGCGCACGATGTCAAACAAGTCGCGCAGCACGCTGCCATACTTGCGCGTTTCCAGCGCAGCGCATTTTCGCTGCAGAATGGAGCGCAGGATGGAGAGGCCGTTGGCGCCTGTGCTGAAGGTAGCATGGCAGAAGCGGGTGGATTGGATTGGGGAAAATAGGCTGGTGAAATCGGAGAGCGAGGTGGATTAGATAGGCGATTTCGGGCGGGAGGGAGGCTAGGTTTGTTGCTGGTGGTGGCATGGTTTGATCTAAGACTAGTGGGGGGGCTGGGGATGGGAGAGGAGAGGCACTGGGTTTGTATTTATCCCCTGCGGAGATTTATTCTTAATTAATTACAATTTATATTAATTGCGAATGAGCGATGTCCAGTTTAACAATAGCTACCCGCTCGGAATTGGAACAAGGAGTAGTTATGTTAAGAATGAGTATCAACGACTTTCGAACTCGGGGTCAAGGGTGATTAGGGGCGACCACAATGTCACAATTAAGTGCTTAAGATTTTCGTCCTCTTGAAGCCCGTCAACTAGTTACGCTTATTATTACCTGGTCAAGTTTTACCAGATGCTCTGCTAGCTGGCCCAGCCTTGAATTATTCCTATGCTAGACTGCAAAACCCGCAACTGTATAAAACGGATAGAACAAATGGAAAGGAACATGCAACAAAGGGGAAACAGAGAAGAGAAGGGAGAAAAGAAAAAAAGACAGAAAAGAAAAAGAAAAGAAAAAGAAAAGAAAAGAAAAAGAAAAGAAAAGAAAAAAGAAAGAAATACGGACCGGGATACAAGGTCATAGGGAAAATAACGAAAAATCGATTAGAAAAAATTGTACACCAAACAGGCATAACTAAAATAATTAACCATGCAAGAATAAAAGAAAATTTAATAAAAAAAGGAAAAACCAGCCATTTGGTTCCATCAAAATCGGATCTTTTAGAGCCATGATATATTCATGTACTTCTTTCAAATGATCTGTATCTGTCTGCCATGTCTGCCCGCAGCCCGCACTCACTCAAAAAACGCCGTTTGCTAGACTCAATGTGTGACGACGTGGGGTTGTGAGAAAATGGGAAGGGCCGGAAGGAGGAGGGGTGGTAGCTTTGTGTCTTCTTCATTTTTCTTCTTCGTGTTTTATTTTCTTGCGTACATGTGAAAGACAAAAAAAAAAGAACAAAGAACACTGTGTCACCGCCTACCGCATGATCTCCTCGTAGATAAGAACTATTAATGAGACGATGCCCGGTTAGTTAACACTGATCATCAACGAACAACAGACGACACGAAATAGAAGCCCCCAAAAAAAAAATCAACGGAGAAGGGTAGTGAGAAAACTTTCTTACCTTTTAGCTGCTCCTTGCTCAGAGAGTCTTTATTTTTATCGAAATCGAAGAATTCTTCTGGGATCGGTTCAGCGGTTGGTTCATCCTCTGGATCGTGATAGGGTTCCAAGTAAGGATGGCGCAAAGCATCTTCGACACTGATACGTTTTACTGGGTTGAATGCAAGGAGTTTCTCGAGCAGGTCCAAAGCTAGGTCGGAGGTCTTGGGGAATAGGGCTTTCAGGGGTATCTTTTTCTTGAAGGGGAGGGATCTGATGTATTCCCGAGCACGACGTGACTTGATGCCGTAATAATCTTCCATGGTTGGTGTTCCCAGGACATCCAGGATGAGAGTAAGTTGGTGGTGATCTGGTTGGCTCAACGGGTCAGTTTTCTATATTTTCTTTTTTCAAAGTGTGACAGGGAAACAAATAGATCATCTCATGGAACTGTGGGTGGGCAAGTCTTACAATCCTTGCCGGGGAACAACGGCTTTCCGCTCAACATTTCCGCCAATATGCAACCAACACTCCAAACGTCAATGGCTTTTGTGTATTCCTTGAAGGTCAACATAATTTCCGGTGCACGGTACCAACGGGTGGCCACATATTCTGTCATAAATCCAGAGTTGTCGTCTGTGGAAGCCGCAGAGCGGGCTAGACCGAAGTCACAAACTTTCAAGTCGCAATTTGCGTTCAGGAGTAAGTTGGAGGGCTTCAGATCACGATGAAGAACATTTGCAGAGTGCATAGCCTTCAGGGCTCGCAGGGTCTGATAGATAAAATATTGGCAATGGTCATCGGAGAGGTCCTGGGTACGAATCACGCGATGCATATCTGTCTCCATGAGTTCCTGGAAAAAAAATGAATTATATAATTAGCTGTGCGCATGGAGACAAAGCTCGGGAGTTTCGCGCGGTCGTACCTGAATGAGGTACACCTCAGTGAAGGTCTCGTAGCTGCGGGGCTTCTGGATGTCCAGGATCGAGATGATGTTCTCATGATTGAAGTATCGAAGGAGTTTCATCTCACGCAGCGTGCGTAGGCAAAACATAGAGTGATCAAACGGCGTGATCTTCTTTATGGCGACTTTCTGACCTGAGGGTTTATGAAGTGCGGAGCTAGCATTTGTTTTCTTGTCAGGGCTACAGACTCCCCAAGGCGACAGTATGCTAAACTAACCAGACAACTCCATACGCGCCCTCCCCAATCACATCCTGAATATCGTACTGATCGGAAACATTGAACGATATCTTCCTCGACCCTCCTTGAGAACTTGGTGGCTGGACCATCCTGATGGTGCTAGATCCTGATGACTAAACCCAGTAGGTTAGCAGTCGGAATTGTGACGAAAGTGGGACATTAACGAAGGAGAGATCAAGGTCGGGCAGCCGTAGGCAAAAAGCCGATTTAAAATAAGCAGATCGAGCGCAGTTGTTAAATCAAGAAGTTCATAGTGACAAATCACGGGGTAAAATTGAACAATGGTAGCAGAGCTTAACGTGAGTGGGAATATCTGCGAAGCCTGAAACCGAAGGTAAAGAAAGACAATTAGAGCGAGTCTATGCAGAGGACAATGGGAACTTGCCCCAAATACAGTCTTCAAACGCGTCACAAGGCATTTGGTATATTTGTTTAGCCACTGCGGGACCCACAAGCTTCGCTGTAGCTGATTCATACTGCGAAATAGCTGTGTGCAGAGGCACAAACTGGGGAGGAGGGGGGGGAATAGAAGGCTCAAAGAACAAAAGACATGACAGGCAAAGCAAAAAGAAATATCAAAGAAAAAAGAAAGATAACTGAAAGAATTCTGGCATGAACAATGAACTCTTTCAAACATGAGTGCACAGATCAAGGAGTAATTTGAAGGTGAATAGCAAGTTGAGAGAACTGTCTTACACTTTCTCACGCAGAGTCAACGCTGCAACTCTGCTGATCCTCAGTTCCTTCTAGAGATATAATTGTGATTTCCTGTTTGCAACACTGCCTGAATTGATATTAAGTTCAACAGGCCAGTTGTTTGTTGTCTTTTCTTATATGTGAATAGAATAGGGTATTTAGGAGGAGAAGTCCCTGGGAGGATGTGAGATAGTTAGAAGCGGCAAGATATCACCAGGACTGAGACCTTGTTTTACTATGATATATAACGCAGATCGGACGAATGCGACTGGATATATGGATGTATGGATGTATGGATCGAGTTTGGGGATATACCGTAGGGGAAAAAGCCGTGGAATTCGAGTGTCAAGGAAGACCCGCGAACGAGGGGGGTAATCGAGAGAGGGGAAACTGCTGATGGTGAATATGGCCTGGAGAACTACCTCTAGTTAGTTATTGTGGCCGTGAATGGATGGCAGCAATCTACCGTGACAGGATGGCGGGGAGAAAGGACAGAGAGGAAATGTTTCATGGTCATACCTGACTGTGTTGCTCGGTCTGCGTTGATATTGTGAGAGGAATAAATATTTACTCGATTGGGCGAGTCGTGGAGGGGGACGACGATAGGCTCGACTAGCGCTGGATACGATACCGAGATGGCCAAATAATACCCAAATTGACACAGTTGCCAGTCGTGAGGTGTGATATCTTGCCTTATCACAAGTATTCTGGAGGGTTTTCAACTATTGCACGGGGTTGATGGCGCCGATGCGGTCTGGAAGAGGTCGCATAAATAAACATGTAGTCCAAAGTCCAACAAGGGGCATGAAATAGTTGTTAGTTACCCGCCCACACACGCTGTTCCCAAAAGGCCGCAGCAGAAAAAAAATAATTAGCTAACCGTCTAGATACTTAAACGGGTGTCCAGCTAATAATATGAATAACATCAAACAGCAACAGGAGAACGAGCAACATGCGGCGGGCGCGGGCGGTTATTCAGAGCGTGGTGGGGCAGACATCTCACACCAAAAACCATACCATACCACCGCACACTACACACCACACTACAACACCACACCACACCACACCACACTCCACACACCGCACCAGCCCCAATGCAGTCCTCAATAGAACAACGCCGTTGTATCTAACAAAGGCACAGCAGAACAACACTTGCTGCCAGCACGCGAATAATCGCCCCCAAACGACACGCTTCCTAGCAAGCCCAGACGGAACCCCAGGCCCATACTCCATCTTACCCAAACCATGCCCTGATCCTGATCACACCTGTTGGCTTTTGGACCCCTACTCCCCTACACTAGTTACTCTACTCCCGCCCAATCTGCTCCGTGTCCGAGAAGTTAAAGACCAGCAGAAAATCATGATAATAATGGGGGCGGATGTTCCGCGATGCCATTCGACCTGTGGATTCAGCCGGCAAGCTAGCATTTGGCCCAATCGCGGGTCCGAAAACACACCACTTGGGACGCTGGGAGCGGGGGAAAACCGTCAATCATCGACATCGGATGGACAAATTTTTATATGACTTGCGACAATTAAGTACCTAACAGTTCCTTAAAATATTAAGATGCTCCGCTCCCGGGAAAACTTGAACTTTTTTACGGAGTTATCCTGTACTAGCTCTCGCCCCTTGGACTATGTTCGAGAAAACCTATTTATATCCTGAAACTCCCAACCCCTCCTCCATTCGCAACAGGGACTAGCCAGGAGAATAATGAACAGGAATTCTGAATTAAGCAGCTGGTTTTGAACAGCTCTGTCGATCGATACACTTACGTGTTTGTGTCCCTTTTTCTTCTATCTCTCCAAACACCGGCGTGCGTCTTCGCTAGAGGCAATGCAAAATCGGGAAAAAAATGTGTCCACGCATCCAGCGATATTCTCCTATTTTGGACCTGAAGTTTTCGTAGCTGATGAAAGCCAGAGCATTCAGAGGATAAATAGATGAAACAGCGCGGTGCCTCCCCCATACAAAAGGATAATGAATGCGTTCCAGACACTCAAGTTTACTTTTTGGACCCAAGGAAGAACACACTGAACAAAAATATTAGCAGGGCAAATCTTGTTACTAGTAAAACGGTCTTGTGGTCTAGTGGTATGATTCTCGCTTCGGGTTTGCCCGATTAAGTGCACTTAATCTGATATGCGAGAGGCCCCGCGTTCGAGTCGCGGCAAGACCCTGTTGATCTGTTTTTTTCTAACTCTTTTTTTTTTACTGTTCTTCATTGTTATGATTCTTTTTCTTTGTCTTTTTTTTCTTTCTTTTTAAATTCATTTTTGGTTTGTTTATAACTTTCCGCTCCTTTACTTCTTTCCTCTTGTTTTAATGTAAATACAAAAAATGTTCTTTCAAGACGGGTTTGTGAGTACTTTTGAGGACAAAATATACGTTCATTGCATGAGGGGTTAATCTTGTTTCACTTGGGAAAAGTTATTATATCCCTTCGAAGGTTAGAACTGGGTTATATATAACTTGGTGAAAAGGAAAGAAATTAACATTGGAACAGGAATGTATTTTTTCATCTTCGAATGCGGAATATGATTTTGATTAATTAGCCTGGAGGATTATGACGACGAGACGGAGGGAATTGCCCCCTCCCCCCCTCTCTCTCACACACATAAAACATGATGTATGATTATCAACTCTCGTCCCTTTACTGCATAATCTGTAAATTCCGAAAAAAAAGTCACAAGTTAGTTAGCTCAACATGGAAGCTATGAAAGGGAAGAAAATAAACGAAGAACAAGAGTAAAGAACAATGACAACAGAGAAGATGCATGATAGGGTAGGACCAAGAAAATCAAGGTCATACCTTCTCCCGCAACGATCCCATCCATTGCGGCAAACTGACTCCCTGGTCAGCCCGATCCTCAACCAACATAGTCTGCGCCCATAGGCGCAATCCAGGCTCCCCATCCTCCTTCACAACATAAAGGTGGGGAACAACAATGCTACCAACGCCACGAGATTGCTTATCGCGACTCTTTTGCACGACGGCGCGCACCCGCTCGTTGAAATCGTTCTCCAGTTCAGGTAAGAATTGCTTTCCGACCATCACATGTGTCCTATCGGCGATGCCAAAGACATCCAAGAGCAACTGTGGAACAGCGTCGCGGCCGACCCAGAGGAATTGCGTCTGCCCATCGTCGATGAGGTAGAGGCCATATGGCACGAGGCGCTCGGATGATAGGTTACAAGGGGGTGGTAGGGTGATTTCACCGGTCTTCTCATCGGGTACGCCAGCATTGTCGGGCATATCGTGAAGCGAGTATAGTTTCGGGTAGATATACTGGATCAGAAGAGGGAGTGGTAGCGTGGAAAGGAGGCAAAGGGCCGCCGATCGCATATCCGTTGGGATCTGAGTAGATTTTCGAAGGCCGATCTATTGACGTTTGGTTAGTTCGTGACTTGTGGTTATAGGGCTAAGGACATATGTGTTCTTACATTTTTCATTAGTGCCAGGAATAGAACCGGCAATCCTCGTAGATTAGCGGGGAACTGCAACCCTCCACCTCCAACACTTCCGCCCGCCAACTCCTTTCTATATGTTGACAATAGCTCTACAATTTTGGACTGAAGTGCGTCACGTGCTTGATCAAGACCGCTACCAAGAGTACGTTCGACAGCCTTATGGCTGAAGTAGGTCGCGATCGCCGATTGGTCTGCTGAAGCATAGACATCCGCGAGAGACTGCGTAGTGGGTAGGGCCAATGTAATGACTCTAATCCTTCGTTCTCCATTGCAGGTTGTATGAAGGACAGCCGCCTGCAAGCAAATTACCGGTTTCGTGACGGTTTCATCGATGGCCACCTCCACAACATATGCTTGGTCACGGGGAAAAGCGGGGAACGCGCAGAGATCTGAGCTTCTGTTGAAGAAATTGCCGTAGAAAGTGCTCATTCTTAAACCGGTCGTGGCGCGCACACGCAACACAGCTTCCAGGCCGATTTCTGCTGAAAGATAGTCCGAGAACTCCTTGGCGAACTTGATTGCATCTTCGCTTCGGGCAGCATTCCAGCCAGGGTAGAAGTATGTTTGGCCGCCGGTGTATCTGGGGAGGTTGCTAAGCGATGCTACATCCTGGTACTGCGAAGAAAACAGGAACATATCCACGGAAATCTGTTGCTTCGAACACTCGACGGCAAAGCTTTTGTAAAAGCTGTTACCTGTCTGTAGCAAAGTGTTCTCCTTGCTAGTTCCAAGCGCTTTCTTGTCCTCTCTCACTTCAAGACTTCCGAAACCCACATTGGGAAGCGACGCTGTCAATACCGTTATCTTTCCGCCAACAGGGGCGATAAGTTTGTGGCCGGCTCGAAGGGCCGAACCCATACATGAACCATTGTTCTGCGTATTTTGGAACATTTCTTGCAGTTTATCCAGGAACAGTTCAATGTTTTCGCGACAATCTGTGAGTGTGACTAATAGATCTCCAGGAATTGGGAGGAAAGGTTCGTCCAAATCGCTAACAACCAACATGCCCGGGTCCGAATTCTCCGAGCCATCTCTTGGTATAGTGAAGTAATGGAGACTAGAATCCACAGCAACAAAACCAAGCCTGGTTCGACGATCTGCGTTGGGTATTCTATCAAGGCTTTCGCGGATGCAGCGTGCGCTGGTGGCCAAAAGCCCGCTGGTGACAGATGCGAAACTGACATCGATCAAAAACAGGTAAACGAGGGGCTGTGGTGGTCGGACCATATATTCCTGAGGCGCCACAAACTCCACAACAGAATGGTTTAGCTCTGGTCTTTGCCATCTATCAAGGGCCTTTTGCGAGGCTGCGTCCCAATCAAATGCTTGAGGAACGTCATTGGTAAGGCTGCACATGTTGCAGCGCCAGCGATGACCGTGGTCAAGAAACGTGACGAAAGGGTTGATATAGGAACGACATCGTCGGCATCGAGAAATTACTTGATCAGACACAATGGGAATCGGGTCTTCAGTGTCGTGGAGGGATGCGTAAGGTTGGATAACCAAGGCAAATGGTAGACGAGACTTTTTTAAAAGAGAATGAGTGGTCGGCACAGCATTTAGAGTAGAGCGCACATATTTTGGAGGGCAATTCGCATCTGGAGAAGGGGTGACGCTGGTCTGGAACTGGTTAGCCCGGAAAATGGACGAGGTACAGAGGATGTCCACTCACATTGGGAGGCAAAACAATGGGCGGAGGAGGGTAGTCTAGTTCAGCAACATTGAACGGTTGTGTAAGAAGGTCGGTGGGATATAACGTATTGAGCGGGACACCTCTTTGCACCGGCATCTGCGCTGCAGGCTGACCACCCATGCTCATCTGTCCCATCTGCTGGGTTACTTGACCCATACTGGCAGGCTGGGAAGGATAGGAGTCGACTGGAGCTTGATATCCCCCAACTGCCACTGGTTCCGGCTGGCCAACCATTTGAGAAGTCATTTGGGCTGGCTCTGCCCCATAAGCACCTTGCGGATAACCCTGGGGTTGTTGCGACGCGGGATATCCGCCGTGCGCTCCACCACCTTGTAACTGTCCACCCAAGGCAGCATTAGGACCTACCCCAAACTCATAAGCCTGGCCAGCATATGCTCGTTTCTTTTTACCGCCGTGGGAATGTGGCCCGTGGCCTGGCGCATCGGCGTGAGCCGGAGAGCCTGTGGCTCCGCGCTGTTCGTCAACGTAAGGTTGTTGCTGGCCATATTCATCTTGGGGGTGACCTCCAGGAGGAAAGCCTCCCTGTGGTGCCGCCATCTCAAATGCAGAAACTAGTTCCGGCGGTTATAGGGAGTCCACGAAAATACTCGAACCCCTCTTGTGGAGTAAAATGGGGGGGATGCGGGACGTGGAGATGGGACGACCTAGTTAGCTATACTCCTATTGTCAATACCCAAGCATATTCGGGACGTTTTACGGGGGATTTGGAGCTCTTACGGGTTTGTGACCAAATATAAATGTATATAGTGCACATTGACCCCAGCAGACACAAGGTAGATGTGGCAGAGTTGAATGAAAAGATGGGGTCGACGTGGCTTCAGGCGCTGGTTGCAGCAAAGCCAGGAGAAGGCGGTGTTGGTGGTGTTGCTGATGTACGGTGGCCTTTATTTGCACTGTTTGGCTGGTTTGACAACTCGTCAATTGCGGCTGCGGTTCTAGCTACGGAGTAGTTATATGGACCTGCCTCGGAACCCAAGGTGTTGTACGTATGTACTTTTTATTCTTATACTTGTACTTGTAACAGCGGCATCTAGAACAGGGGACAATTGATTTTATTTTATTTTTTTTTATTTTATTTTTATTTTTTTTTAATTTTAAACGTTGAGCTTGAGCCTTGAGTTTTCTTAGTAGGTAACTAGGCTTAGGCTTAGGTTATAGCAAATCCAGCATAAATCCGGCATTACACTAAGACTATTTTAGTAAGGTCACATACTCAGAAACAAATCCTCACTAGATTTATCACGAAAAGCATTAGAGATACATCTGATGGAATTAGGGTTGATGCTAGCTACGAGAGGATAGACAAGAAATGCGGGCGTTACAGCAACGCTTAACTAACTGTCCCTACATTCAGAGACAGAAATATCCCTCACCAAACCCACACGCAATGTTCATTGCACGAAGCATGAAGCGTATCAACAATGGTTGAGAGTCGCATCGAGGACGACTCTGCCCACTGTGTTAGAGGCTTTCGAGAGCATCGCGAGAGAGACTCAGGCAAAGGTCACTCAGAGATATTAATTGGATTAGAGAAGCTCAACAAGGGATGTCAATATCGTGTGAACTCAGTCACACTTATTGTTCACCAACAAGCAGATATGGAAAGGAAAATATTGGTTGCTCAGCCTTGAGACGATTTCTTCATGCCATTCCCATATCGGAAGCCCTGAAAACTGGTCATACGGACGGTCTCATTAGATCTTCCTGGGCACTCCAAGCCGGCAAATTGATACCCTCTTTTAGCGCATATACCGTGCTGAGATGGATGGTGGGTATTCATTCGCAAGCGGTCCATGGAGCCACTTTAAGAGAAGAACGTGCAAATATAATGACAGATATCATTGTGCTCGTGCTGACACTAGATATAAGTTCATCATTACATCATTCACCTTCTAATATGCCAAACCTTATCATTACATCATTACATCCAGCAGCTGACAGCTATTTAATGTAGGATTCATATTGTGGGACGCGAAGTAGCCGGAGCGACTGCCAACATTTAAACTCGTCTCTCTTAATAATGACATCAAACCCACGATCATAAAGCTGGCCTTGCACTGCAGCCGGTTATTGTGTTTGTTGAAGCGAATTCCAACCCGTAGTGATACAATCCATCTCAACCTCTGAGTTTAGGATCCAGCGCAACCAGCCGCCACCCGACGCCATGGTTTCTATATCTGACTCGATCAAAAAGGACCACAGGGAGCTGCAGGCATTCCATAACCAGATAGTCAACGCCGATAATGATATTATCAAAGCTAGGTTTCAAAACCAGTTTGTATGGGAGTTGGCTCGTCTTTCTGCAGCTGAAGAGCTGCTACTTTACCCAGCATTTGAACAGCATTTAGCAGATGGCAAGGAGCGGGTAGATAAGGATCGCGAGAGACATCAGCAGGTAAGAGAATGGAGATAGCTATGTTTGCACGCCTAGCTATTTGATAAAAAGCAGGGCAACAATGAATGAATGCTAATACTGAGGGAAACAAATAGACCAAAGATCAGCTATTGGAGTTCCAATCCTTGAAGCCGACAGATGCAAACTTCGAGCCGACAATCAACTCTCTCATGGACAATCTCTCCACGCACATGAGAAACGAGGAGGAGGACGATCTCCCTGCTCTTGAGGACGCAATCAGCAGTGAGGATAGCGAAGGGCTTTCCAAATCTTTCAAGAAAACGAAGTTGTTCATTCCAACACGCCTACACCCTGCAGGACCCCACCATCCTGCCTTTGAGAACGTGACTGCGTTTGTCATGACGCCGGTTGATAAACTTGCGGATACTTTCCGCAGGCTCCCTTAAAACGGAATCCTTTGCTTCTCACGATGGTTTACGGTTTCCGCAGCTAACAGAGGATTCGAAATTTGGGTGTATAAAGCCTGGCGAAACTGAAGGCTGGAAAACTGCTCTTCTGTCCCTATTTTCCCCTTGAACCCCCCTTGAAGCTTTCTGGGTAAAAACACGTCAGAGAACGAAAAAGGCAAAGCAGAGACCCTGAGAATCTACCAATTTGGAGCTCCCTTTTATGGAATTGCTTTTTGAAAAAATTATCACCACCAAAAAATTGTAGCAAGGCTCGTGCCAAACGCAATGTATTGCAGCTCCCTGGGCATATTTTACACTAATCACGTTCTTATCGGGTCAAACGCCGGGGTTTATTATGTTCAAAAAGGGTTCAAGGCAAGAACATCAGAGTACCGTAGTCGACATTCTTTTGAAACTGTTTAATGAATATATTTCTTGCAAATAACGAAATGCTTTTCTTCTCTTATCATGCCCTTTACGAAATGTCATCTTACTGAATCTCAGGGTATCCGAAGCTCGCCGGACCTCATCAAACTCCGTGTCAGGAACAGTTCCATCTCCGCTTGGTGCTGTCAGACGCTATAGCCGCCATCTCATCCGCAGCAATTCCCCAATTCGTCAAAAGGGAAGAAAATGCTAGGCAACCTTGCGAATCACCTCTTTCAGTTATCATCCACGCAAGGAAGCAGAAGCCCTATACAAAATGTTGAACACAAGCACTGTGTCCCCAAGCAGCAGTGATGTGACGTCATACATCCCAACATCAGCTATGTCCAACCATCCTAGCTCTTTGCAAAAGACAATTATTATGTGCTACGCATATGTCACATTTACGTATGTGCTGGCAACCCAAAAGTTCCGCGACAGATTTCTCCATATTTTTCAGAACTATAGGCAGGATGTAATCAGCTTTTTCTCAGGCAACGCCAAACACGATACCGTCAATTTTGTACCCACTTAACCCACCCACCGTATACTCAATTAGAGCGTGCATCCTTTTGTGTTCCTTGCTTGAAATCAAGCATTGTTGGGCTTGGAGCGTTATGTGCCCGCCGTTTCCCTTTACTTTTCATGTTAGAGGATCTATGATCCTATAAAAGGGGGTGTGCATTTCCCCGCTGTTTGTATTTGATCCGAAACGACAGTAACTGAAAAATCAGAATCATAATATTTATTCTTCCTTTGACTAAGTAGAAATTCCTTAATTTTCACATTTTTTTTGAAGTGTTTGTAAGAAACCCGGAAAACATGACGTCCGCCGTCGTCCCAATGCGCCAATTCAGCCTTAGGGGCAAAGTATACATTGTCACAGGGGGTGGCAGAGGGCTGGGACTCCGCATGGCAGAGGCGATGACAGAAGCCGGCGCGGAAGGTGAGTCGTACAACTTAGGCAGAGAGAATATTTGGAATATCAAATATATCCCCAAACCTCTGCCCAACGCAACCCTTGACTATAGATAACTGATCCCACTTCTCCCCAACCAAGTCAACTGCCTAGACCGCCTCCAGGATACGGACTCAGAATTCCTAGCGACGCAAGAACTCGCTTGCCGCGAACACATCGGCTCGCTACACTACCATCACCTTGACGTGCGAGATTCAGAACGTCTACAAGAAACCATCCGGAAAATCGCATCTCGCCAGCGGCGCCTTGACGGTCTCGTGGCAGCAGCTGGTATCCTCCAACTCACCGACGCGATCGACTACTCGCCCGAAGATGTGACAAAAACCATGGACATTAATTACACGGGGCTCTTCATGACAGCGCAGGCGGTTGCGAGGCAGATGATGGAATACGAATGTGTTGGCTCAATTGTGCTCGTGGCGAGTATGAGTGGCCTCGTGGCCAACAAGGGGATGAATGCGCCAGTGTATAACTCATCCAAGGCGGCGGTTATCCAACTAGGGAAGAACCTGGCAATGGAGTGGGGCCAGAAAGGTATTCGGGTTAATTCACTATGTCCAGGGCATATTCTGACGCCAATGGTGCAGCAAACTTTTGAGAAGGTGGAGGGTCTGTGGCAGACCTGGGAGTCGGAGAATATGTTAGGACGGTTGGCGAAGCCGGTAGAGTTTACCGGAGCGGCGATATTTTTGTTGAGCGAGGCGAGTAGGTTCATGACAGGGAGTTCATTGGTTATTGATGGGGGCCACACGGCTTGGTAGTTAGCCTTTCCATCACTCAGTTTCTATTCTTGAGCTGAATAATTTATGGCCGGAAATTGGTGCATGGCTGGTTTGGTGTGGTTGGAAGTCATGCTCAATATTTTCTGTCCAGAATCAATATCAGCCACTCAATAGAAGGGATGATAGACTGTAAAAATTACATTATATCATTTCGACAATCAAGAAAGAAAAATCATAGATCAAAGAATGATATAAACTCCAAAAACGCCGTGCTTGAAGGGCGATGATGATAAAGATAATGAGAAATATGCATGTGAAGCAATGCGAAACTACTACGAGGACAATAAAGGTATATAAAAAAGACGTCAAGTGCGGGACATGTCTCTGGAACCGCGCAAAATAATAGAAGGCGAAGAAACAAAACAAATCGTAGACCTGCCCCTATCCCTAATGCCCCCCTACTTGCTTAACGACAGGCGTCGACAGCTCGAGTCTTCGCCCCCCCCGTAACAATTAGGGGCCACGGAATATTGCTCAAATCGCATTCCTCATATTCTCCACAGTTTTCGCACCAACCCCTTTCAGCTTCCCAAGCTCCGCTAAACTGCGTATCTGTACTTGCGGCCGGCCACCGATAGCGCTGCTGTCGTTTTCATCATTATCTTGAGCATTCAATGAATCCATTTCACACAGACAGTCAACGATGGCCTCGGCTTTCTTTATCCCAACGCCTCGAAGAAGCTTTATTTGATTGACATTCCTGGTATTTATTGTTGAAATGATGTGGCTAGTGCGTGGGGTAAGCTCCAAATCAGGTGTTTCCTCAGAAGTTACGTCTGCGTCCTTTTTCGATGGTATTTGATGTGTTAGGGAAGTGGACGGCGGATGAGATGCCTGTTTTCGAGATTTGCTAGTTTTAGGCGCCGCAGATCTTTTTAACGGCTGGGTATAAGAATGAGTTATAGTGATTTCCTCATCACTGAATTGCTCATTCGGATCGGATGGTTGGTAGTCGTCGTCATCATCAGCATGAAATTCAGAATTGAAACTTTCGTCTTTCGCATACCTCTTTCGCTTTTTTGGGCGCTTTGTTTCCGGTCCGGTATCCCGACTCTCTTCCGCGACTGGAAATGACAGCAGTTGTTCTTGTCCCTTATATTTTAACTTCTCTTTCAAAGCCTTTATTTTAGTTTCCAGTTTCTCATTGCTGGGGAAAAATGGTTGGGCCAACTGATACATCCTTAGAGCTGAGGAATCCTCGCCGCGTGACTGGTGCTGTTTTCCCATCAAGAGGTAGGATAACCCTTCCGCTCTCACATCCTCTTTCCCTTCAATCCTTTGCTCAAGTAGCTCAAGTCGGCGTTGCACTTGCTCATTGAGCCCATTGCTGGAAGAATGATCGGCGTCACGTTGCTTCTCAGCCTCGTTCAAAGCTCGAGCAGCGAGAACTTCTTCCACCTTTCTCTCCACCATTTCTTCTATCTTTGCCGCAGATATGCCTTCTAAGGTATGCGAGCCAGCAGCTGCAGGCCGAAACACCTTTGATGGTCGAAAGGTGCCAACACCGCTTGCATCAGATCTGCGTTTCAATGGCGAGGATCGCTTTGGAGGATCAAACCGTTTGACGTTGGTAGGTGGCTTCGACTGGGGCTTGTCAGAGTACACAGAGAACGCCTTAATAGGTTTGGCTTCTGCTGTCTTTGATGGATCAGTTGTAGTTGGTAATACTATATTTGCATTAATCGAAGTAGTGAGTGGCCGTAAAGGTTGTCGGTGCATTCCTGGCCCTGTGACCCCTGATCCCCGAATAGTTGGCCGTGGAGGCCCTTTGAACATGGGCTCGTTTTCTATTTCGCGGACCTCGATCTTCTTCGTACGGTTCGCAAAGTTGAGCGAACTGAGCGTATCAAGGTGATAGGAGCGTATTGGAGCGAGATTCAAAATCATGATGGTCAGCCCATTGTTTTGACCCAAAGACAATATCCTCGTCATTTTCGATTCACGGTACGGGATTCGGGATTGCTTCTTGCTGATTGCCTCGACGCATTGAGCAAGTACAAATAGGCTTTTGTTTATACTTGCGGACTCTACCATGCGCTCCTTGCCATTGTCGGTTCGACGATTATCTTCGGATCCAGCAAGATCAATGCACGATGCAAGGCTCACGCGGGTCTGCTCAGCAGTGGTAACCACTAGCTTGACACAGAGGATTGCATGAGATCTTGACGAATGAGCGTTTAGCTATTATTATAACTTGTTAGCATGACTATTTATTGATTTTTGTCTGGTTTACTTCTCCCACCTTCGTTGCTGAAGTTGACCTATTCACATTGGCGTGATCGTATAACGTCTCGAACTCTTTCAAACTCGTGCAGGGGCGTTCGGTCAGCCCAACTACTACAGTCTTTCCACCCGCATCCCGCAGTGGTAGACCCGCAGCCGTTCTCTTTTCTGGTGGCTCAAAAAGATCGAACACCTTGTCGTTATATATCTCATAGTAGCTCATGGCCACATCCACCTTGGTGGAACCCTGACTATCCCGCTCAATCTTACGACTGCGCCTATAAATGCCGCTCAGGAGTCGTGGGATAACTCCTCTGTCATGTAGACTCTTTCCTCCGCGCATTGTATGTGTTTTGCCAGTTCCCGTAACTCCGTAAGCAAATATCGTCACGTCGAAACCGTTGAAAAGATGCTTTATCGTAGGGGCAACTGGAGAGCCATTGGGGTTAGCTTCCCGCCTTCTCGTCCCTGTCTCAACAAAATAAAACAGCTGCCCTATTCTCCATGAAAATAGGAGCATGACAGGGAAAGGTAAGCAGAATATATTTACAGACAAAACTCACCCTCCCCATCAAAAATCTCCTGCTGCGACACGTCCGCCCCGTACACTCCATTAAACTGAAAACTGTATTCCTCCCCTTCATTCTTCGGATTCGGGATCCGGACAAGATTATCCCGATCCAACGCTAGAGCCGTTTTCGCGCCATCTTTCTGCTTTTTGCCCTTCAATGCCGTCGTCTTCGTCGATTTCGCGTCACTCTTGGAAGTGGATAGCGGCTGTGTAGTTGTTGTGGTGGAGATCGCCGTGGTTCCCGAGCGGACGATGATATCGCTTTCCTTCTCCGATTTGAGCAGCGGGCGGATTCGTGCGATGACGCGAACGCTCATGACTACGAAGTATGGGACTTATCGAAGGGAGGGGATATGTTGTTTATATCGGTACGAAGTACTTCGGGGACGAATTCCGTAACTCTCTTCGTTCGGCTTGACTTCAAATTCGCCAATTTCAAATGCCGAAAAAGGGATGTAAAATTGATATAGAAAGAAATATAACGAAAAGAAGAACAAAAAGCCAAAATCCACAAATACTAAATCTCGACAGCTTACATGTCACTCACGCCGTGTTCGTGGGCTTGTTCGCTGGAGATATTACAACGGCGGACAACAAACAGTCAAAAAAAGCAATCCTAACGAAAAATACGGGGCTTCGTCGACTCAAAGAAAAAGGAAACAACATTCAACTAACAACAGAAAAAGAAAGGGGAAAAGAAAAAGAAAAGAAAAAGAAAAAACCACTGTGTATACCTACCTTTGCTACCCGGAAGATCCTGTCTATCTGTCGATGCAGGCAAAAGCATCAGCTCAAAATGCATTTGTGGGGAGGATGGATATTCGGGGGCGTGTTGTTGGGGCAACCAGCACGGGGAAGCTAAGTAGGGGGTTTTGTCCGACATCTAGTCATTCCATCGGCTGTGGACTTGAACAGCACAACTATTGTCGATGAGAAATGATTTTGGTCTGAGGAGTCTTGAGATTGGTTGAAGGGTTGCACGAAGGCCCTGGAACTCCTATACCAACGCTGAATGGACACGTACGGGAAATACACTGCCAATATCGCGACGATACCTAGACGAATTAGAAACACATCCACCCCCAGTGATGTCTGCCAAATTGATCATAGATGCCGGAAAAGGCATTGTCTATCATTAATTTCTCACCTGTTTTCTCTATATAACTATTCTATATACATTTCCGGGAATGACAACTGTACGAGTCGAGAACTGTGCAGAATGGTATTTTGCTGAGGAACAGAATTCGCGGCCAACGCCCACAACGCAGAAAATAAAATAAAGTAAAAACGGGAAAAAAGGATATAAAGCAAGAAAAGACGAAAATTAAGACGATAATCTGGGGAAACAAAAACCGAAGAGAAGGGAAAAGAGACCAGCAGGGCTCACGTAGTTATGCGCCACTCGTTCACCCAACCTTTCTTTTCTCAAAACTTTGTCATCAACTTCATACCAGTCACCTTCAACCTAGCAAGAACAAAAGCCACAGTCCCTGCCGCCATAACGATTCCCGTAAACAACTGCATCCGCCAGAATGTCGGCTGTTCAATGTCCCCGACCAGGGCACCTCCGATAGGGTTTCCTGTGAGGCTGGCAATGGAACAGACTGCAAACATCGCACCCGTACGTACACCAATCTGGCGCACATCGGAAATCTGCGCTACCAAGGCTGGGCCAAGGGAAACGAATGCGCCCGAGGTAAAGCCGAAGAAGGCGGTAAAGAGGAGAACGGGGATGTTGCCACGGGCGGGCAGCCAGAGAGCAAGAACCATGACGACGTTCAGCACGCAGGTTATTATCATGGCGTTGAAACGGCCGAAAAGGTCAGCAGCATGGCCCGGTAGGATACGGCCGAACGTACTAGATGGTCGTTTGGTTAATATCAATTTTGAAGTCGCGGCTTTAATGGAGGTTTGAGAGGGGATATTCGGGAGGGGGGTTCCTTGTGCTGGAAAACATTTTACCTGGATGCGTTCAGAATCGAAACAAGATAGCCTGCTAGGTGTGGAGACATCCCATAGTGGCGGGCAAACGAAACGATAAATGTGAACGGTAAGTATAGCCCGAAGAATGATAACCATGCACCCGCCGTGGTCAAGAGGAATGGCATCTCGGTAAAAGGCGTCAAGAATTCCTTAAATTTGAAGGGCCTCGGTTGCGGTGGAAGTCTCGACTTTACCGTCAGGTTTATAATAACGCATAACCCCAAGATGAGAAAGGCGCAGATCCTCATCGCCCAGGCAAATCCCACCTGTGGGACTAGTCTAGCTACCATGATAGGGTATATCACGCCTCCGACACTTGAACCACTGGCCGAAATTCCAAGCGCGAGTGCTCGTCGCTTGAAAAACCACGTTGAGATGCTATTGACAGCAGGATAAAAAAGAGCCCCGGCGCCAATTGCACTACAGATCCCTTGGGCTAGGAGGATTTGATAGTATTTAGTTGATATGGAAGTCATCATCAGACCAAAGACATGGAGAAAGGTTCCGCCTATGATTAAGTATCGAGGGCCATAACTGTCGAATATCTTGCCACAAAAAGGGGCCTACTCATAGAGTACATGGTCAGTGCGGCTTCAAGCCATAACGTTGATACGCTGATATTTTGTCATGGTTCAGGATGGATATCCCTTTTGACATACGGCTAAAAACATCATGCAAGCTTCAAGGGACGGGATCCAAGCAATAGTGCTTGGTGAGTAGGACTTCAACTGGTTATTCTGGTAGTGGTCCTGGAACACTCCGATACCTAAACATACATTAGATCACTGCACTGGGGGCTTGTTCTCACTTGGGCAAGAAAAATATTTCTGAGAGTTCAGAGAAAAGAAAGCCGTCGACTTACAAGTGATCCATCCGAAGCTCACAAATAGAGAACAGAACCCACCAAAAACCACAGTCCACGCCTCAATACCGCCGTCAGGAAACGCGCTTGGATCTATCTTGGGGTTCACGGGATGGCCGGCCTCTCCCTCTTGTTTTTCTGGGTCCCTGTCCGCAGGGTATTCTGTTGACGCGGAATCTGAGGCATCGTGACCGAGATTATCTGATCCTTTGCTCAATTTTCGGCCTGGAGGTGGTGAGCCCAAGTGAGTGAGACTTGATTTTGACGACGGAGGAAACCCGTCTGCCTTCAGTTCCCTATCTAGCTCGGTTTCCCCGCTCCAGACATGGCCATTTGCTCGTCCATTATCGATGTCATTCGACATCATCCTGAGAAACTTGAGAGATATGTCCTCAAAGCAGAAACATATGTATTGCCCGGTACGGGATATATTGTATCGGCGGTTAACAACACTGAAAACAGGGGGTGTTTTCACACAACTTATACCATGAAAACAATAAGGTTCGGCTGATCGGCTCTTATCTCCGTTGATACAGGCTCTCGGAGAACGAGAGGAAAAGTATAAGGAAGGTGGTGGAGATATCGGAGAACGATATACAATAAGTCGGGTGTGGAAAAGCCTGATATGGCTGGCGGGCGAAGCGGGTATAAACAAATAGAAAATATAATAGAAAATATTATAAACAGATATCAATGAAATAAATCCAAGTGGATCGACCGAGCTCGGTTGAAAGGTACATCAGGTACATCTATGTATGGCTCCGTGCGGGCTCGGTTCGGAGATCTTGGGAGGGAGCGGGCACATATCAAGAACGAAATAGTGGCAACCTTGGGAAGGCCATAGGTAGAAACCCGAGAACTTGTGTGAATCCGATTAATAATTGCTTTTTTTTTTTTTTTTTTTTTTTTTTTTTAAAGCGTTAGGGGTGTAATAATTATGAGTTCTTTCTAGTCCGAAGCCGACTGAGGCTTCCGGGGAGTTGAGTAATAAGCCCAGTCAGTCTGGGGCGAATCTGGAGCATCGCCCGTGAAAAACACGAGCATTGAGACACAGGCTCCAGTGTTTTGAGTCAGGAAGCCAGAAGGGGTGATTGCATTTGGCGCTCTCCATTTTTGTAAGTCCGAGAAATCGAGAAATCGTGCTTGATCGATCGATGGTAACTTAACATTTGTAGCTCTAAAAAAGGCAGAATTATCACCCCCTCAGCATCGACCGGGAGTAGATGACTACATGATATGCCGGTATTATTTACAACGCCGCTAAATCAACTATTCGGAACCAGGCATGGTGGGATGCTGCATAATTTTATCCCGTCCTCAAATCTCTGATAGCTAGCAACCGTACGAATATCGGCCTATACGAAAGCTCTCAGAAGCTAGCCACAGCAGTAAATAGCGTTAAGATCCTCATCGGGAGCTGGCCATTTTGCTATAGCTTCTGAACGTCTATGAGGTGCAGGACCAGTCGTTCGAATTTTGACCAGAACGTTGAGCATGTTGCGCGTGGAGCGTTGCGGTGGTACTCTTTTTTTCATGTACGAAGTACGCCTGTGTTATACGTACACACGCCTATTGTCACTAACCGACGAGGGTTGGGCAGAGTCCTTGGCCTTCGTGCTCTCTGATCAGAAAATTCGCAGGATCCTTAACATGCCAACCAGGTTACTATAGCAGAAACCTCAAACGAGGGCTGAAATCTTTTTGGGAGGGGGCTGATTTTGAGAGTCCGGGAAAAACGAACCAATATGCCGACTGGGAATCGCTGTAGGATTTGCAAGAGAGAGGGGAATCACATCTATCGGGAGCCGGGACTGAGTTGGGCCAGATATTTGCCATGTCTGAAGCCGCGAGGCCAGGTCCGGGAGCGGGTGACCAAAGTCGCGAAGAAGCCGGATGAAACCTGGATACAGAGTTACTCATTATTGCTTTTCTTGTGTTCGTCTCCTCAAAAACGATAGCACTATGTGTACTGTACGTTGATGGACAAGGACGCAGGATCGCCGGGTGGGGCAACACTGTTGCTCGTCTCTCTCCCGTTGGATGTTGGATTCAGTTGGGATATCACCTCACCTCTATGAATCGGCAGGTTGCAATGCCCGCGCGCACGGAGAGTGGAGACACAGACAGCAGCTCTTAAATCCGTAGCTCGCCTAACCTGTAGTTATATACAGTTAGTTGGCTAATACACCATCGTCATTGGTGAGATTGGTGAGATGGGGCCTAACCGCGGCGAAAGCCTCTCAGTTGTGATTTATCCAACCAGGCACTACAGCAGGCAGGGCGGCGGAATCTGGCATCTGAAGTTTCAAAAGGAGCGAATTCCGAGGTATCTGTATAAGGGAGCGAGCGTGTATCAGATTGACCGGCAGATATATTATGTATTTTGTGTTCCTCTGCTCCCCGAAGTCCAAATTTGAGGGTGCTAGTCAGGAGAGAGGGAACATACAGTACATTAACTAATTACCTGCTGGCTGCAGGAGGTAACAAACAAGTCATTATTCTTGTGAATAATAGTTAGTAGGTAGTTATGCCAGAATCCTCTGCTGTTCCCGAATAAATTGGCTATTGTCAATAATGCAAGCCAACTTAGCCAAGGGATCATCAGCCTTACATATTTAGCCATGTACAGTCTCAAGCGGCTGGTCGCTCTAACCACTTCCATTGTCTGATTTAATTATTCAAATTTTCAAAAGTTATGCTCAAAAAAGGCCTTCTTTAAACTTGTTTATACACATAGTGGTCATGAAGTATAATAATCACCTGAAAACTAACTAGCTTACACAATTTTAAATTCTTTTAACTTTCAATTCATCTTGGGTGAACGTACAAAACAAAGAATAGGTAAACATATGTAAATGCAATAAAGACTATGCTATGCTAATCAAACGCTTAGTATACAATTCGTAAAGGTGAAAACTCTCATTAAACCTCTCATAAACCATTCCCAGCCAGAGTTTTGCCCAGCCGTTAAAGCAAAGCCATCTAGCCACCTCACCTTCAAGCCAAGCCTCAAAGCTCACCAGCTCGCGGCTGAATCGGTCCCTGACCCCAAGTCCCGTGGAAGCCATACGTCATGACAATGGGCATCCTAGCTCTACCCAGTTCCTTCATAGTTTTGACGTCTA